TACGATCATCACCACCGTGTGCCCCACCCGCATATGGACCCGGCCCATCCAAATTGGGCCGGCGGCCGGTACCGGTGCGGTCCTGTAATGCAGGCTCCGACGCCGTATGTCGAGCATCAGAAGGCGGTTACTATAAGGAACGATGTGAATCTGAAGAAGGAATCTCTCAAGGTCGAGCCCGATGAGGAAAACCCTGGAAGCTTCCTTGTCTCTTTTACTTTTGATGCCACGGTTGCTGGGAGGTATCATATGAAGCTTAAAGCTTTTGTCTTGAACTTGAAGTTTGCTTTTTCACTAACTTCTGTTTTGTTTCTGCATTAAATGCCTAATTGGGGGCTGATATTTGGTTTTATGTGGGATTAGCTTAATTGGGCTTTATAATATTGTTATTGGTTTGGTTGTTTTTATTTTGTTGTGTTAGCTTGGACTGGTGGAATGTGGAGATTGAATTTGTAGGATTGAGACAGTTTGGAAAAGTAGCAGTTTTGAGGGAAATTGGTAATCAATTGGATAGTAGATTACTAGTTATGGAAGTTTGGAAGACAATTTTGATGAGAATCCAAGTGTTATTGAAAAGGACGACTTTCATCACCATTTTGAAGTGATGATTGCCATTCTAGCTTGATCCATTTGTATTGCTTTTGAAGAAGGCAAGATGGATAGGTTAACAGGATGGATAGGTGACTTGATGGTGTGTACCAATGATTGATTTTGTTGGTTTTTCAGTTCTAATTGTTTCCAAAAGCTTAAGCTGTTAGGATGCGAGCCAATTTTTTTTTTTATATTCTAACACTCTCCCTAACATGTGGACCTTTTCCCACCCCTAAAGATCCAAATGGATGAATTTTAACATAAATTCTTATCTTTCAGTTTTCAGGATTTGAAACATATTCTATGATACTAAGATAAATCTTGTTGGTTTACCAAGGTTTTGGAACTGTGGCAAACCAACATTATGTATCAAGTGACCTTCAGTCATCTATGATCGCAGTGGTGATTATAGTATATAAAATAGGTACAATTGCTTTGGGGAACCTTACTGGAGTGAAAGGGCATAAGTGTCTAGACAATTCATATGGGATAAGAGCGTGATTGGTGACAATGAGTTGTTTGCTTTTCTCAGTATTATCTTTTAGCAATAAGGATTTGCGGAACTCGTTTATAACTGGTGAATACGGATTAATGAGGGTGTTTACCTCAGAAATGTCGATTAGGAAAAATAAGATGATGATGTGAGGACTTTAGGTTTCTATATGGTTTTGGTGGTGTTGAGATATAAGAAATTGTTCTCATATATGTGGCCATCTAATCTTTCAGCTTGGTATATTCTTTTGGTACTTAAATTCCACAGCCTAGTATATTTCCCTTGTTTGAGGTACACAAGGAATGATACTTTATGCATCACAGATCATACTCAAATACCATGCTGTGATGACATTTCAATGTGGAATTATAGTAGTGGTATCTTTTTTGGGCCAAGGTGTTGATAACTCATTTGATTTACATGCATAACTGTTGGAGGATAAGGCTTTATTAAGATTGTAGTGCAGTAAGATCCTTACATTTTTATGTTCTTTAACATTATCTGATCATCTGGTTATTTTTAATCTTAATATATGGCTTTGTGAAACAGCATCACCATTATCTTCTTTGCGAAAGAAAGTGAGGACTGTAACCTGACACCAACAAAGTCTAACCTTCCACCTGTGACGGTACATTTTCAACAAGGTCTCGGCCAGAAGTTCAGACAGCCCTCTGGAACTGGAATTAATTTCTCAATGTTTGAGGAGACAGAATTACTGAAAGTAACGGACTTGGATATCTATCCTATAGCTGTAAAGGCAGAGGCATCCCCACCTAACCAGGATGGATCAGAGGGAAACCCTGTATCCGTAACAACAAACTCCCAGATAACTCAGGCCATATTTGAGAGGGAGAAAGGTGAATTCCAGGTGAGGGTTGTCAAGCAGATTCTTTGGGTGAATGGATTGAGGTATGAACTACAGGAGATATATGGCATTGGTAATTCAGTTGAGGGTGACTTGGACGGGAATGACCCAGGAAAAGAATGTGTCATTTGCCTGTCTGAACCACGGGACACAACTGTTCTTCCATGCAGACACATGGTAATCATACTTCCCTGTTTTTCTTTTCAAAGTTTGTCACAATTGCAAATGGAATGAGCTGAGGATCTTTTGTAGGTTTTAAAGGGTTACATTAACTTGCTTCCATCGAGTTATCATCTTGACAAACTAATGAAATTCACTCAACATGAATAAGAAATTCTTCTTGGCTGATTATTGGTTGGGTTTTCTTTCTTGCTGCAGTGTATGTGCAGTGGGTGTGCCAAGGTTTTGAGATTCCAGACAAACCGTTGCCCAATTTGCCGACAACCAGTTGAGAGGCTTTTGGAGATAAAGGTCAACAATGGTCCGGAGGAATGAGAGGATGTGTTCTGCCACTAGCATTCTGTATGGTTAATGGCACCCTCCTTCCCCACCCCCTCCTTTCTTCCTCCTCATTTGTTTTTCAAGAATTAAAAAGGCAAGTTATATGCTGTATGAAGTGTCAAGTGGCAATGCTTCATAAATATACATCTTCTACATTTGGTTTGCTTCTACTGTTGTAATTATTTCTTTCAAGAAAGGTTAATGTAGATAATCATCTGCAGTATTTGGCACAAATTTTCCAGTTCCAACTGGGCAAAGAGAAGTATAAGACCTAGCTTTTTTCTTGTCCATTTTACTTTTTTGGGGGGTCTGAAGAGAGTTTGTCTTATCACACTTTTCTAGTTTCCACAGGTGAGCAGGTAACTTGAGGCTTCTATGCTTTAAGGTAAGGTAAAATTACTAAATCAGGCACATGCCACTGACGGCAAAACAGCTTAATCACAATTTAGCAAAAGTCCAAGAGAGGTTTCATTATCAACTTTTTGTGGCCATATATGAATCAGTGAACTCAACGGCGCTAAATAATTGCTACTAATAGCAACAATTTAGTGCGGTAGATCGTCTATCACTTTCATTATTTTATATCAGCAAACGTGGATGCGTCAAGTCTCTTGAAGTTGCCATGGTCCTCTCTTTTTCAAAGGTCGTCTCCAAGTGTGCATTTTGAAGTAGACTGTGATTGGCTTTCAAGAGCTATGATTTTGGTCTCCTAGTTTTCGCTAAGTTTCATTTTGATCCTTGTGGTTTCAATTAATTTTCAATTAAATGACTTAATTTTATCCATTTCTTCAACATAATTAGCATGCTTGTGAAATAGGAGAGGGTAAATTGGCCTTTTTGGAAGTATAAAAACGCCACCCACACACATGCTAATTCCGTTGAACTAGTGGCTGAGTTAAGCCATTTTCCTCACATTGCAACAATCAGTAAATTACAGAGGTTAAATACAATTGAAACTATATGGACCAAAGCGAAACTTCACTTGAAACTATAATCAAGCTTATTTACAATTTAATGTTAGTCTACTCTCTAACGATAAAATGGGTGTATCACTTTCTAGTGTTGATTGTAGCCAGTGAAGTCGCTGATTGCTTCAATCCTCGAGCAGTTGGTAAGCCCTGAAATAATGCCAATAAAGTGGTCATGCTAAAGCCAGGGTCAGCACAAAGGCGAGGGCGAAAAAATAAAGCAAAGAAACTTTGCATTCATTTGTGGGGTAAAAACATATCAGTAAATTACAGAGGTTAAATACAATTGAAACTATATGGACCAAAGCGAAACTTCACTTGAAACTATAATCAAGCTTATTTACAATTTAATGTTAGTCTACTCTCTAACGATAAAATGGGTGTATCACTTTCTAGTGTTGATTGTAGCCAGTGAAGTCGCTGATTGCTTCAATCCTCGAGCAGTTGGTAAGCCCTGAAATAATGCCAATAAAGTGGTCATGCTAAAGCCAGGGTCAGCACAAAGGCGAGGGCGAAAAAATAAAGCAAAGAAACTTTGCATTCATTTGTGGGAAGCTCATAACAAAGTCCATCACCACGCTGTGCTTACGGCGTAAACAAATAATTATAAGAAGCTAGACAGAAGATTGAATTAGATTAAGGGTTAAGTTTCCTTCCACCACTTTAAGCATATCAAGTTCTTCGGCGGCGGGGCCTAGAAAGCATTTCTAAACGAGTTTCCAAGAAGAAAGAATCAAAGTCAAACCATATAAAACACACATAGAACATACGATTAATAAGTTACCAAGTTGGAAAGCTCAAATGGCCAACCAATCATGAAGCAACAACTTGGATGTTTTTCATCCTACACAAAGTACTTAAACAGTACACACCGCACAAGATAACAATGGTTGTTTATTTTAACCTAAGTGCCCAACCATTAAAGCAACTTTTGATGTAGGGACTATAGATGTCCCCCACATCCTACATGGTAACTTACCGAGTTCAACAACATAACACACTACGGTCGAAACATGATCAAACCGAACGGATCAAAGAACATCAACAGGGTTGCCGTCTCCCCACCACTGATGGACAAAGACACCACTGCTACGGAGGCTTCCGAAGATGTCCATGCAGTCCACCGGCATTGCACCTCCTGCATCAACACCGCCGGAGCAATGAAGAAACAGCTCGTCTACAAAGCATATGGCTCCACTTTCAAACAGCTCTGTGAGGAACTTCAGTTCTACATTCCCTGCATTCATCTTCAGGACCACGAAATCTGCAAACTGCACCGTTTCCTTAAACCAGGCATGGAAATCAAACCCTTCATCTCCCACATATGGCTCTGTTTCTCCATCAGTTGTAACATTGACTTGAGCCTTAATTCCAGCCAGCCCTGGATGATAAACAAAGGTGATTCCTGGCTTTTTGACATAGGACAATAGAACAGAAGTGTTGTGGTCAACAAAATAAGTATGGAAAGCTTTGCGTTCGATGGGATAAGAGGGCAGGAACCAATTTGTAGCATTTGAGTTCAGGTGCTCCGCTGCCCCAATATCAACATAGACCAAGCGCTTCTTTGAGGAAAGATCAACAAAATTAGGCAAATAATTGAACTTCTTTCCATAATCGACTGGCTTTTCCTTCACAAGAGGCTCCATTTTCCCAATGAAAGGTCGATTGTTTGTGAGAGATTGGCAGTCAGCCGGAAGGCGATACTTCTCAAAAAGCCCAGCATTTTCATAACTTTTCCTGAACACAACCAAAGTGAAGTTACCGATGTGGTTAACATGCACAACGCTGGAACTTTTCAGCAACGAAGAAATTGGGGTGGCAGACCTAATCAAGCTATTCGGGGCGGAAATGCTGCTACCCACAAGTATTGCCCCAATCCCACCAGGGCTAAGTACACGCTCGATCTCGAGCACAAGAAGCGCAGGGACAGAAACCTTATCTAGATCCCTGGAGAGCACAAAATCAAAAGATTTGTCCTCATAGTCAATTTCGTACACGAACTGTTTGCGCTTCAGTGAGAAGAAGCGGCGTTCATAAACACCACGAGCATTGGGGAAACCCAAATCTTGCAATGCCAACACGGTTGAGGCGGAGCCTTCTCCAACACAGAGAGCTTTTGTACCATAATTCAATATCTGCTTGCTCATAAGCTCTCTGACCACACTGACAGTCAAGTTCACATCTTGCTTGCACCGGTCCGAATTGAAAGAGCCCCAAAAGGGATTCAGGTAACGACTCTGAAAGTTGAACTTTCCCGGGGCCAAGTCGACATGGGTATGGCCCAATTGGGAGGCGCAGTCACCCGGATTCACAAAAGTGAACATTGTTATATAGGGTCCTGACAAAACGTGAAACAAGGGTATAATGGACATGGCCGAGGCGATAAAGAAAGCGCGGAAAAACACACGCCTGGCCAGAGACCCATGAAGGATCTGCGATTTCAGAGCCTTCAAATCCATGATTCTCTTCGTTTTGAAAATTTGGCTCTGAAACATAAGGCCCAAATCGTAACGCAAGCAAATGGGGTTTCTCGATCAAATATCAGTTCTTTTATCAAAAAGAGTAAAGTTGGGAATTTTGGTAAAGAATTCTATAAGAAAACTTTGCGAGGGGAAAAAGCCAAACACAGAATGAGAGAGTAGATTAGCGAGTGCAAAACCTGGAGGAGGTGTGATTCCCACCCACGAGGAGCCCCATCGTTTTTTGAATTACTAACCACACCCTCTTTGAAACTTTTGCTGGCTTCGTGTCGTACCAGACCCAATCCATATTTGCCAAAATTGAAACCCTACATTACATGGCGGAGGAGAGTGGCATCAATTATGGTGGATTTTGGGAGCCGTTCAGAAACCCTAGAATCGAATTGAAAAATCTGGAAATCAAAATTCGGGATTTTAGGGCGACTGAGAGCTTTTTTTTGAGTGAAGTGAAGCAGCAGAGAAACAGATCTGGTTTAATATAACAAAAGAAAACACTCTGCTAGACTAGTAGCCCCCCATGGACAGCGATAAGGTCACCGACGCTAAAAAGAGACACGTGTCGACACCAGGAAGCTTCTCAACTCCAGCTAATCTTTTATCGCTCGTCCAACTGTGAAAAGCGCCAAAAATTATAATGATGAACCAAGTTATCGTTACAGCAAGTCACCCAGGAGAGAGAGTGAAAAATCGAGGCCGTTGATCGGTGCGGGTACCACGGATAGATCAACGGCTCGATGCTTTTAATTGAGAATCTAAATAAGTATGAGAAGATAATAATTTTAAAAAAATGGAGCGACGAGGCTGATTTGGCGTTACTATATAGATCTGAGTCTGACAGAAGCGTGTGGTCTCCACTGGGAACTGTTTCATTGCAAATGAAGACCTGAGATTGATAGGCAGTGCTTTTAATGATGTTTTTATGACCGTCAGTTGAAATCGGACGGTTGAAATCGCGCTGCTGGAGAAATTGGTAAATGCGGGTGAAGAATAGGGAACCATGTCCGGATTGCCACGTGGGCAGCATGATAGCGAAATGTCGTACGATTATGACGTGGACGCCGTTCAGTCTAGAAAAGTTAAGGAACGTTAGCATCAAGTGGAGGTTCACGTCTATCAATGGGCGTTGGATAATTCAATTACTTGGAACAAAATTTAGTGGGTTGATTAGCTACAATCTTTTTCGGTTTTGGGAAATAATTAGGTACAAGCTTCCTTCCTTCCTTTTCATTGGTCCCTATTATACTGTATACACTTACCTTGTATTAAAAAATGACGATTTTTTGTTAAATGGTTCGCGCGGCATTGATTTGTCTCTTTGTCATTCTGTGGTCCACTTGAATATAAATCAATCCAAATTCAACCTTGTTTAATTAATTTTACTACATATAAATTAAATTTTTTAGTATAGTGTGGTATTGGAGTATGGTCAAGTACTCGTCTATATGTTATAATATAAGTATATATTTATTGATATTCTACTTAAACGTAAGAAATCTTAATTATATTGTTCACCCGTATTATAACACGTAACAAATTATACAACGTAACATAACCATATTTCCAATACAATACAACAATTTGCATTCCTAAAATTATAGTATTAGATTTTACGGTCTCATATTTTGTCACACGTTGGCTTTCTTAATTTTTATGGTGAGCTTGATTAGCAAGAGGAAAAAAATTCAAGCCATACTTAAGAGAAAACCCTAAAGAAAGAAACCCATGTCACCCACTGCTCCCTTGGGCTTGGTGAGGGTAGGGAAAGGCCATGGTGGTCGAGGGTGTGGGGTTGTAGGGATGTGAGAGAGTGAGAGATTGGATTTTGATGGTTTGGGGTGGTGGGTTCATGAATTTTCTTTCATAGGACAAGAAAACACTACTACTAATAATGAAGATCAGTCGACTCTTAAATGTAAAAGAACACATCATATAAACAAATCAATTCACAAATTATATAACACAAACTCTACATCTTCTACCTAATTCATCTATTGCACGACACAATAAGAAGAATGAGAAGAGTGAGTCCATAGAACAAGAAGAATAACATAAGTAGAGGAGTAGAGGTTGCCCCATTGCCCTTCCTTAGTCTTCTTTGAGGCATTTTATCAAACACATTGCCCCCACCCAACACTACTACTAATAATGATTGCCTTCACTGGACCTTAATGGACCCGCCAGTAGTGTTGGAATAGGGAGGAGAGGCAATCGGAGTAAGTGGTGGTGTGTTGGTTATTTATTTTTGAACTTATTTTATATTATAAAACTGAAGTGTTTTCTTTTTGTTTTTACCTTTGATTTTATTTAGTTTGTTTTTTCTTATTTTTGGATTCGAAAAGTCCCATTACCAACAAACAACGGGTCATTTTAGACTCAAAAATAAATAGACTTAAAAGAAATAACCAATAGAGCACATTCAATTTTGAAGACTACATAATCTAATACTAGCCTCTCTGTACGCGCTTTCGCACTTATGAGAAGTTTTTTTTAAAAAAAAAATTTAAAATTTATTTTAGAATTAAAAAATATAATGGGTAATAAAAATAGTGTATATTATCTTATTTTTCTTAAAAATTTTTTAAATATAAAAAAGTGTGAATTTACCATATTATCCTCATTTAATTAATAATTCCAATTTTTAATGTTTGCATTAACCAAGGGCATTTTCTAGTTTTGAATATTTCACCATTCTCTGCATTTTGCTTTATATATATAGATTAGGATTCATGAGCAATGCAACTTGGTGTGAATTTTGGGATCACTGCTATGGTCAAGCATATAATTTTAGAAGAAACATAAATACATAATAAGAAACAAAAAGGTGACCAGAGCGGTGAGGCCAATTCCTTGCACCCAAATTTATCTTATTCTCCATAAATTAATTAGATTATTTATTGTATAGGAAAAAAGGGAAAGAAAAATAATTATTTTCTTCTTATAATACAAGTTAAACAAGTTTTTCATGTTATAAACAGATTATGTGCATTTGAAACTAATTTGATATTTTTATTAATTGTATTGTATAATGTAATTGAAGGAAGTTGAAGTTGGGAGTAGTCCAACTCCTTAAAAGTTTGTCATAAATGTGATTGGTTCCTTATAACAAATAATTTCACTTGAGATTCTTTGATGCCAAACGTGGTTGATCCTAAATGGAGGACCAAAGGCTCACAGAGGGGAACCACCAAAGGCATCTCCTTCACATTATTGGAGACAAAATAATACGAGACAGGCTGGAGAAATCGAAATTAAAAAAACTCCATCACCTTTCTTCTTGTATCAATGATTAAGACCTCTATACTTCCAGATTTCCAACTAACTCAAAATGAAAGAAACCATTCATTTAATTTGGGCTCCACATAATGGGGTCATGATCATAGATCACGTCGACCTAATATAATATAATCTAATGATCCATATAAGTTATAATGGACATTGCTTGTCTCTTTTTCGATAAGGAAACATTCTTTTTTATTGTAAATCACAATTTAAAGAAAAATGTATACACATATATTTTATTGGGAGATTCACTATTATACTCAATATAGGAGCTCAAATTATAAATTAAAAAAACTTATATGAAATAGACTTTAGAAACACACCCAGAGTCTATTTACAACATAATAAAAAAGCTTTTAATTTCTTTTAAATTACAAAACTGTCATTGATTTCTTAAAACAAACCCAACCTCAGAACCTCATTAAAAAACCTAAAACACTCAATAGGGTATCAAAGTAATTTAATAATCAAAATTAAATTCAATAGGGCCAGTTGTCATTTTTTGGGTTTCTTTATAGATATTAAATGGTGTATGGTTTATCTATATTATTAGTGCTAAGAATGTGTATATGACTAAATATATCTATTTTCTTTAGGCTTGGAAGAAATTGAACTCTATCACTTCTTGTTGTATCAATGATTAAGACCTCTATACTTCGAAATTTCCAACTAACTCAGAATGAAAGAAACCATTAATTTGGCTCCATATTATCGGCTTAAGGGCTCCACATAATGGGGTCATGATGATAGAACACTTCAACCTAATATAATACAATTTAATGATCCATATTAGTTATAACGGACATTGTTTGTCTCTTTCTCGATAAGGAAACATTCTTTTTTTACTGTAAATCACAATTTAAAGAAAAATTTATCCACACATATTTTCTTGGGAGATTCATTATTATACTTAATATAGGAGTCCAAATTATATATAT